GCAGTGGGTCACCCGCTGACATCGCAGGAGTGAACTGGTGAACCCCTGCATCCTGCAGGGTCTGCGCCACTCACCAAGTTCGTCGAGAACGAGGGAAGGGTACAGACCAGACAGGGTGCCCGAGGGGGCAGCCGGACACGGGGGAACAGTGGAGAAGTGAGAGAGGACAGGACCCCCAGAGGGTCAGCCAGGGAGAAACTGCAACCGGCCGACCAAGCGGCGTGAGTGTGGTGCGGTCTCGAAAGAAAGGGAGCGAGAAGCTCCGGAGTCAAGTGTGAAAGTGAGGGAGGCCGAAGCCGACTCAGTGCCTGAAAGCGCAGTCATCACCAGTACCTGAGAGCGCAGACGCACTGGCACCTAGAGCAGCAGTCTCACAAGCACCTAGTGCAGCAGTAACAATGCCCGGGTCGGGCGGGAAACACCGGTAACAGTCACCCTCCTCACTAATAGTCACACAGCATACATAGCAGCAAGAATAGCATCAAAGTCCAGATCATAGATAGCTACACCCGCCCTAGACAGCTCTCCCCAGCGGGGAATCTCACTAGCCTCGGGGAACTGCTGACTGCCAAGCGTCTGTCAGGCGGCCAAAGCAGCGCTGGGTGGGGTGGGGCACCCCCACACTGCTCATCCGCCGCGGTCGCCGGAAACGAAGGACGTAGGTGCACGGACCATTTCCCCCACCCCCGCTGACGATGAGTGTACCACTCACGAAGCTGCTGGGGTGGAGGGATGTCCCGCGAACGCTGCTGCTGCCTGCTTGCTGCTGGGCGCTGACCACTACCAGAGCCGCTCCGCTGGCGGGGTACCACCCCGACCAGCTCCACCCCCTCCGCCCACGACACCGCCTCCTCCGCCGCCTCCTCCGCCGCCTCCACCTCCACTACTGCCGCTACCAACCGCCGCCGGTCCTCCGCCGCTGCCACCACCACCCGCCGCCGCCGCCACCACTCCCGCCACCACCCCTGACGGGAGTGGTCCCTGACTACGCGAAGGGTGATCAGGGGAGGCGTGCGACTACGTAGTAGAGAGTGATGTACATGGGGGGGGGGTTCTTGGCGCAGAAACTCCAGCAAGAAGGGCAGCGCGGTAGCGAGCGTCACTAGTGCGGACGTGGCGTACGAGGTCAGTGACAGTGGAAAGGCAGTGAGGTCGGAAAGAGGGAACGGGTAGCATGAGGCGGCTCAGTGCAGCAATGGCAGGGGAGGAAGTAGCGCGGCAACTATAGCGTCGTACTAGGTCTGAGCACTCTTGTACTGGCTAAAAGTGCGCGCGCTCAGTGGGTAGGGAGGTGCCGACGCACAGCAAGACGTGCAGCAGCATCGCGGGTGGCCCACTGAGAGCGAACAGTGGGGTCAGCATCAGCAGGCAGGGGCAGGCGAGGCGCCAGAGGTGAGGTCAAAGAGAGAAAGACCGTCTGCCCTGTCGCACTGTAAGAACAGCTGGAGGTCGTCGACCCAGACCTCAAAGTCTATGGCTCGACCCTCAGCGTCAAAAGCGAGGACACTAGGGGTAGCCATAGTGACAGACTAGCAGTGCAAGCAGTGGGGAAGGGGCACGCAGTAGCAGTGGGGCAGTGTCGTGCTCAACAGAAAAAGGGCAGGTCGGGCGGTCCGTTCGTGGGCGGCCTCGGCTGCTGTGGGGCGGCTCGGCAGCTTCTGGGCGGCTCGGCGACTGCGGGGCGGCTCGGCAGCTGCTGGGCGGCTTCGGCGACTGCGAGGCGGCTTCGGCAGCTCCTGGGCGGCTCGGCTGCTCCCAGGCGGCTCGGCTGCTGCTGGGGCGGCTCGGCTGCTGCTGGGCTGCTGCTGGGCTGCTCGGCAACGGGCGGCTCAGCTGCTGCAGTGCTGGGGCGGCGGGGGCCGCGAGATCAGGGACGGCGGGGGCCGCGTATCAGGGGCAGCAGGGCCGTGAGCGCTGGGGCAGCGGGGCCGCCGAGATCAGGGGCGGGCGGGGGCCGTGGGCCGCTAGGGCGGCGGGGCCGTGAGATCCTGGGCGGCGAGGGCCGCGAGAGTCAGGGTCAGCGGGGCCGCTGGAGCAGGGCGGCAGGGCCGCGAGAGTAGGTGGCGGCGGGGCCGCGAGGGAAGGGGCGGGGGAGGGCCGCGAAAGTAGGGGGCGGCGAGGGGCCGCGAAAGCAGGGGCGGCAAGGGCCGTGAGAGCTGAGGCCGCGGGGCCGCGACAGTAGGGGCGGCGGGACCGCGGGAGTAGGGCCGCGGGGCCGCGACAGCAGGGGCGACGGGGCCGCGCGAGCAGGGGGGCGCGGGGCCACGACAGCAAGGGGCGGCGGGGCCGCGTGATCAGGGGCGAGACGGGGCCGCTTGAGCAGGGGCCGCGGGGGCCGCGATAGCAGGGGCCGTCTGGGCCCGCGACAGGCAGGGGCGGGCGGGGCCTCGCGATCAGGGGCGACGGGGGCCGCTTGAGGCAAGGGGCACGCGAGGCCGCGACAGCAGGGGCGTCGGGGCGCGCTAGCAGGGCCGCGGGGCCGCGACAGCAGGGGTGGCGGGGCCCGCGTGATCAGGGGCGACGGGGCCGCGATTGGAGGGCGGCTGGGGCCGCTAGGGGAGGGAGGGGCCCGAGCGCGACTCGAGATGGGCGCGCTCCGGGCCAGTAAAAAAAGATTCGAACTAGTGGTAGGCCCTAGGTGCAATTCCCACAGGGGAACCTGCTCGATACATGAGAAAAGTTTGAACGAGAATGAATGAACTATGAAAATGTGTGGAGTACAAAGTACCAACCCTAATTGGGTTGTACCACTTATGGGGGATACCCACTATAGCCTACACAAAAAAGCATAAGCTATAAGTTCTGACAAACTGCTGGGTTTCAGGTTGCGCGCGGGTGGGGGTTGATACCCCTGGCTGGACGCACGTCGACTCGTGCATCTTGTCGGCCGAGCCAGTTGCTCGGACTGGTCTGGCGAGGGCGAGATCGGGACTTGCAATCGATCCGCCAAATGCCACAAAATTTCTGCAAAATTTACAGTAGAGGCGCCGCGGTCTTCGCTCTTCGTTGTTGTCGTCGTAGAAGGTGAGCTGTTCTCGTTCTCGTCGTGGCGCTGGTCACTACTTGATCCATATCCCGTGTTCGACGAGAAGGGCTGCGCAAGGGCGGCCTCCGAGATGACCCCCTGCTGTCGGAGAAGCGCTTGCAGGGCCGCCACTTTGGGGCCGAGCCCTTGAAGCACGATATTCCACGAAGATTTCTTCCGAAATCGAACTTCCCAACTTCGCGATTTGGTCGCGAAGACTCCGACAAGCGATTGATGTAGCTGTTGCCTTCTCCACTGGGGCCATTTTGGTTTCCAGAAGCTGCTGGAGCAACCAGCCTCGAAGAGACTGAGTCATTCGGCTGATACACGCCGTTGAGATGGCGCCAGGCGTCGAGGGCTGGAGCGGCCGATGTTTTTGTATGAGCGGATGCTCAATTGCTCCGCCGGCGAAATGTTCTGCAGGAGCACCCCGTATGCCATCGTGTATATCTCGCCTTGGCGTCGTCAGTGTCCTCAGCAGGTTCCGCGTAACTCCCGTCGAAATAGTGGGAAAATATGCGTTCTTCAGCAGGAGCTCCAGCTCGAAGCTCCAGGTATAGAAGTCTCTGCCGTCAAAATATGTCAAATTATAGTATTGTGTAGGCTATAGTGGGGTAGCCCATATGGGGTACACATTTCTAGGGTTGCATATTTGTATCACTTCCATTCCTTAGTCATCCATTCTCATTCTACTTTTCCTCATGGTATCGAGGCAGGTTCCCCCTTGGGAACTGTGCCTAGGGCCCACCACATCGAGTTTCATTTTTTTTTTTCCTCTCCTGCCCGAAGCGCGTCGCTCCGCCCGAGTCGCGCTCCGGGCTCTCACCTCGCCGAGCCGCCACTAGCGCCCCCCCCCCCCCCTACGCCCTAGCGGCCCTTCCCCCTAGCGGGCCCGCTGCCCTATCGTTTCGGCCCCGCCGCCCTTTAGTGCGGCCCGCGCCGCCCGTCACAGCGCCCGTCGCCCCGCATCGCGGCCACCACCGCCCGTCTCCGCGTCCTCGCCGCCCGTCGCTGCGGCCCGCCCTTACTCAGCGGGCCACGCGCCCTTCTCCTCAGCGGCCCCGCCGCCCTACTCAGCGGGCCCTGCCGCCCTTCTCCTCAGCGGCCCCGCCGCCCTGCTCAGCTGCCCCGCCGCCCTACTCAGCGGCCTCGCCGCCCTTCTCCTCAGCGGCCCCGCCGCCCTGCTCAGCGGCCCCGCCGCCCTTCTCCTCAGCGGCAACCAGTCCGCCCTACTCAGCGGCCCGGCCGGCCCTTACTCCTCAGCGGCCCCGCCGCCCTACCTCAGCTGGCCCCGTCCGCCCTTTTCCTCAGCGGCCCCCGCCGCCCTACTCAGCGGCCCCGCCGCCCTTCTCCTTAGCGGCACCGCCGCCCTGCTCAACGGCCCCGCCGCCCTACTCAATGGCCCGCCGCCCTTCCGCAGCGGCCTCGCCGCCCTTCTCAGCGACCCAGCCGCCCCTCGCACCAGCGGCCCTGCCGCCCTACACCGCCCGCGCCGCTCGAGCCGCCTGAACCGCCCGAGCCTCCCGAGCCGCCCGACCTGCCGAGCTGCCCGAGCCGCCCGAGCCGCCCGACCAGCCCGAGCCGCCCGAGCCACCCGAGCCGCCCGAGCCGCCTGAGCCGCCTGAGCCGCCCGAGCCACCTGAGGAGCCGAGCCGCTGGTGCCATGGAGCCGCAGTTGCTGCAGTGCCGTCCGAGCAGCCGTGTTGCCGTGCTGCTGTACCGCTGAGCTGCTCGACCCGCCCTGCCTGGTGAGAGCAGCGCTTCTGTCACTGCACTGCCCCTGTCCTACAGTTGGTACTGCTAGTGTTGTCCTGGCTATGTCCCCTGTTCTCGCTGTTCTCCTTTGACGCTGAGGGTCGAGCCATTGACATTGAGGTTTAGGTACATGACCTGCAGCTTTTCCTACAGTGCGATAGGGCAGACGGTCTTTCCCTCTTTGACCTCACCTCTGGTGCTTCCCCGACCCCTGCTGCCGATGCCGACGCCACTGTTCGCTCCCAGTGGGCCACTCGCGATGCTGCTGCACGTCTTGCTGTGCGTCGCCACCTGCCTACCACTGAACGCGCGCACTTTAGTCAGTAAAAGAGTGCTCAGACCTTGTACGACGCTGTCGTTGCACGCTACTCCTCCCCTGCCACTGCTGCACTGAGCCGCCTCATGCTACCGTACCTCTTTCCTGACCTTGCTGCCTTTCCCACAGTCGCTGACCTCATTACGCACCTCCGCACTAGTGACACTCGCTACCGCGCCGCGCTTCCTGCTGATTTCTGCGCCAAGAACCCCCCCCCCCCATGTACATCACTCTCTATTATATAGTCACCACCCGCCTCCCTGACTCCCTTCTCGCGTAGTCAGGACCACTTTCTCTCAGTCTGTCCCACACTCTCACTGTTGACCTCCTAGAGAAGGCCCTCCTAGCAGCGGAGAAGAGCAAAGTCGCTGTAGGAGCCTCTCGTGGTGACCCTTGCACCCCCATCTTTGAGGGGTGTTCCCCTTCCCCCTGTTGCCCTCTGTCGCCTCTTGCTGCTGCTGCGGCCGGCCTTGTTGGTCTTGAGTCGGTTGGTGCGGCGTCTGCCCCTAGCGGGAGACGCCGCTCTGGCAAGGGCAAGGGGGGCAAGGGCGCGGGTGGAGGTGGCGGGGGTGGTGGAGGTGGCTGTGGAGGCGGCGGAGGGAGTGGGGGTGGCGGTGGGAGTGGGTGGCGGGGGTGGAGGTGTCGGTGGCAGCGGCGGAGGCGGCGTGGCGGTAGCAGTGGGAGCGGAGGCGGCGGTGGCGGCGGAGGTGGAAGGCGGCGGTGGTGGAGGAGGTGGAGCTGGTCGGGGTGGTGCTTCTCAGCGGAGCGGCTCCAGGAGTGGTCAGCGCCAAGCACCAGCAGCAGCAGCAGCGTTCTCGAGGGACATCCCCTCCTCCTCAGCAGCTTCGTGAGTGGTACACGTAGCGTCAGTGTGGTGGGGGTTTTGGCCCGTGCACCATAACGTCCTTCGCTTCCCGCGACACGCGGCGGGTGAGCAGTTGTGGGGGTGCCCACCCCCCAGCGCTGCTTTGGCCGCCTGATGGACGCTTGGCGTCAGCAGTTCCCGGAGGCTAGTGAGATCCCCCGTTGGGGAGAGCTGTCTAGGGCAGGTGTCGCTATCTATGATCTTGACTTTGATGCTATCCTTGCTGCCATGTATGTTGTGACTATTAGTGATGAGGGTGACTGTTACCGGTGTTTCCCGCCCGACCCGGGCATTGGTACTCGCTGCGCTAGGTGCTAGTGAGGATGCTGCTCTAGGTGCCAGTAGCTTCTGCGCCTCAGGTACTGGTAGGCTGCGCTCTCAGGTACCCGCGCCGGCTTTGGCCTCCCTCACCTTCACACTTGACTCGGGGGCTTCTCGAATCCTTCTTTCGAGACCGCACCACACTCACGCCGCTTGGTCGGCCGGTTGCAGTCTCCCTGGCAGACCTGGTCCTGATTCTGCCCCTACTTCGTGTCGCCTCCTGTCTCACGAGACTCTCCTCTGGCACCACCGTCTTGGCACCCCTCCCTGCCTCGTCTCCGAGGCATGGCTTCCCGTGTCCTTGTCTCAGGTCTTCCCCGCTCCCTCCCTCCCTTCCTCCGGGGCCTGGTCCTTCCTGTGTCCCCTGTGTCGAGGGGCGGCTCCGAGCTGCCCCTCACTCCTCTCAGTTTCCCCCGACAGAGTCCCCGCTGCAGACGCTTCACATGGACGTGTGGGGGCCCAGCCCGCGTCCGGGGACAGGGTCACGAGCGCTACTTCCTGCTGGGTGGTTGACGACTAATCGCGTTACACCACAGTCTTCCCCTTGCGCAGCAAGGGTGATGTCACTGAGGTGTTGATCGACTGGATCCGCGCAGCTCGTCTCCAGCTCTAGGAGGAGCTTCGGCTCGGACTTTCCTGTTCTGGCGTCTGCACTCTGACCGAGGCGGAGAGTTCTCCTCTGGCCCTCCTACGAGCCTACTGTCGCGCGCGAGGCATCCGCCAGACCTTTACGCTTCCGGACTCTCCGCAGCAAAATGGATTGCTGAGCGCCGCATTGGCATGGTCATGGACGTCGCTCGAACGTCCATGATGCATGCGGCTGCCCCCCATTTTCTGTGGCCGTTTGCGGTTCAGTACGCGGCGCATCAGATCAACCTTCACCCCAGGGTCTCCAGGCCGGAGACCTCCCCAGCCTTGCTGTGGACGGGGAAGGTCGGCGATGCGTCTGCGTTCCGTGTCTGGGGATCTCGGGCGTTTGTCCGCGACTTGTCTGCGGACAAGCTGTCCCCCCGTGCTGCTCCCTGTGTCTTCCTTAGCTTCCCCCCTGACGCCCCTGGGTGGCAGTTCTACCACCCCACCTCTCGTCGTGTTCTGTCCTCCCAGGACGTCACGTTCGATGAGTCGGTCCCCTACTACCGCCTCTTCCCCTACCGCACTCCTTCCCTCCCCCGCCACCGCACTTCCTTGTACCAGGTCCCCCCCTGGTAGACCCCCTTCCCCTCAGGGTCCTGCCCCTTCAGGTGTGTCCTAGATAGACGCAGTCGAGCCTGTCGAGGTTGCTGGTGACTCTAGTACTGCTGCGGGTGCTGAGCCTAGGGGTGCTGCGCGTGTGGGTGCTGAGCCTGGGGGTGCTGAGTCTGGGGGTGCTGCGACTGGGGGTGCTGAGCCTAGAGGTGCTACGACTGGGGGTGCTGAGCCTGGGGGTGCTACGACTGGGGGTGCTGAGCCTTGGGGTGCTACGTCAGGAGCTGCTGAGCCTAGAGGTACTGCGCGTCTGGAGCTACTGAGCCTGGTGGTGAGGAGCCACCGGCCGCTGGACCTGCTCGTTTGGCGTCTGGCGGTGCTGGGCCTGGAGGTTCTCCGGGTGCTTCGTCTCGGCGGGAGCCACCTCCTCCACACGAGCTGCACGAGTGGTTTGCCCGGCCCTAGAGGCGTACTGCTGGAGCTGGAGCTTCTTCGGCGCTGAGGGTACTGGTGCCGCCCGTCCCGGAGGTACCCCTCCTGGGAGTGCTGGAGCTGCTGGGCCTGAGGGTACGACTGGAGCTGGAGCTGCTGAGGGTGTTTGCGCTGAGGCTACTGCTGTCACTCCTGGCGGTGGTCCTGCTGCGGGTGCTGCTGGTACTGCTGGAGGTCCTGCAGCGGAGGTGTTGTTGGCGCTGGTGCTGCCGCTGAAGGTGCTGGTGCTGTCCCTGCTGTGTCTAGAGTCGCCGCGCGGCCTCGGCCGTACTTCGTTCCGCTCCTTCAGCAGGTTCTTGGTCTTCTCCTCCTGTAGAGTGTCCGCCGCTTGTCCAGTCACAGTCACAGTTACCGCCCGCCTCCCCACTGCCTACTCCCTCTCCTTACACTGGTCCTACTAGAGGTCTTGAGCCTGGCGTCTCGTCCCGTGTCGCTGTTCGTGCTGCTGGCGCTAGCTGGTAGTGGTAGCGTTTCGCGTCAGCGTCCCCTCCTGTCCCTGGCACGCACCGGATGTCTCTGCGTCCGTCCACTGCTCCTCTGCGTGTCCTTTTGCCTTCTCCTCCTGAGTCCTCTCTTCCTGCGCTTGCCGACACCGGAGTCGGACTCTCTTCGTGCTGCCGGTCCTATACCCGCCGCGTCCCTCCTTGCTACTGTCGTCAGTGACCCCCTCTTTTGAGTCCACTGCTGCGTCTGCTCTAGTTTTCTGACCTCGTCGACTTTGCTGCTCGCTGTCGTCTAGACTACGCTGCTAGTCTTGTTGCTGAGTCTGTGTCTGTCTGTGCTCCTCGTCCATCGGGGGTGAGTGTGCTCTTGGCACGGACGTCCTTGAGGACAGGCAGGAGGAGTTCCAGTGTCTGGCTGCTGCTTCACCTCATCTCGCGTCCGTACTGCTTACCCCTGAGGGAGACCCGGATGCACTAGACATCCCGACTCCGCGCTCTTACGCGGAGGCGATAGAGGGTCCCTACTATTCTCAGTGGCAGGCAGCTATGGATGCAGAGATTGCTTCGTGGAAGTCCAGAGGCACCTACGTTGACGCGGTCCCCCGCCCTCCTGTGGGCGAACATCGTTAGTGGCAGTGGATCTTCAGGGTGAAGCGGCCGCCAGGGCTCTCCACCTGTCTTCAAGCGCGGTACGTGGCTCGTGGCTTCAATCAGCGGCAGGGAGTTTGACTACTTTCAGACCTTCTCTCCCACCCCGAAGATGACCCACTCTTCGGGTGCTGCTACACATAGCCGGCCGCAGCGTGACTACGAGCTTCTCTCCCTTGACTTCAGCACTGCTTTTCCTGCAGGGTAGCCTGCACGAGGAGATCTGGCTGCGCCGTCCACCTGGCTTCACTGGGAATTTCCCTCCTGGCACCCAGTGGAGCCTCCGACGCCAGTCTACGGTCTCCGCCAGGCACCGCACGAGTGGCACGTACACACTGAGGACTACGCTTGCGGCTCTTGGGTTTGCTCCTCTACTGCTGACTGATCCGTCGTTGTTTCTGCACACCGACACTCTCTGCCGCCGTTCTACATCCTCGTGTATACGTCGACGACTTGGTCTTTGCCACAGCTGACACTGCTTGGACTCGCCCACACGTGAAGTCCGAGCTGCAGAAGAGATACACGTGCACAGACCTGGGTGAACTGCGCAGCTACCTTGGCTTGCAGATCACCCGGGACAGAGCACGCCCGCACCATTACCTTGACTCATTCACACATGGTGCAGCAGGTCCTTCAGCGCTTCGGCTTCACGTACTCCTTGCTCTCAGGCCACTCCTCTGTCTACTCGCCACACTCGCTCTTCAGCTCTGCCTTCGGATGAGTCCGTAGAGTCGAGTGGTACCGTACCCAGAGCTTGTTGTGCTGCCTCATGTACCTGATGACCTGCACACACGACCTGACCTTGCATACCCTCTTAGCATTCTTGCACGCTATGTTGCTTCCTGGGAGACACAGACCAGAGCACATGGCAGCAGCGAAGAGGTGTTGCGCTACTTGTGCAGTACGTCGGGCATGGGCTAGTGGCTTGGAGGGCGGAGTCCAGTGGTCCTCAGTGGGCACGCGGACGCTTCTTGGGCTGACGACCAGGCTACGCAGCGGTCGTCACAGGGTTACACCTTCAGTCTTGGTTCCGGCTCTGTTTCGTGGCGGGCTAACTCGCTGTCGTCTTCGTCTCGGCTCCAGTTGTGAGGCTGAGATCTACGCCGGGGCCATGGCTGCACAGGAGCTTCGCTGGCTCACCTACCTGCTGACTGACCTCGGAGAGCCGCCTCGTTCTCCTCCAGGGCTGTACGTAGACAACAAGGCCATGCTGGCCTTGTATCGGGAGCAGCGCCTGGAGCACAGAACGAAGCACATTGCTCTCCGCTACTTTCTTGCTCGTGAGTTGCAGCTGCGTGGTCAGTTGCGACTTGCGTACGTGTGCCTCTGAGGCCAACACTGCTGATGTTTTCACCAAGGCACTTCCGCCTTGTGATCATCAGCGCTTCTGCACTCAGCTGGGTCTTGTGCCTTTCTTGCCTCACTTGCTCACCCCTTGACCTTGCTTGTACTCTTACATATATATATACCCTGCTCTTGCTTGTTTAGCCTTATATATATTATAGATTATATTGTACTCCTGCATGTGAATTGGCCTTGTGGCCTTGACCTTGTGCTCGGACTGTGTGGTGACGTTGTGATCCACCCTGAGCTTTGTCTGCTTTGCTTGACTGGTCTTGTGACCCCTTGTTCTCCCCCCACTTTGCCTATGGGGTGTGTCAAATTATAATATTGTGTAGGCTAGAGTGGGGTAGCCCATATGGGGTACACATTTCTAGGGTTGAATATTTGTATCACTTCCATTCCTTAGTCATACATTCTCGTTTACTTTCCTCAAAATACATACTTGTCATTATATTTTATTGCTGAGAAACCTTGATTGCGCAGAGAGAATTGCATCTTCACTAGGACGGGGAGTCTTGGGGGTTGACCATTTGTGTCGAGGGAGAATGTGTGC